ATTCAGTTCACAGTAAACGGTGACACAGATATAACAGTCTCTGAAGATACGCCGGTGGAGTTTATCTGTGTCATGGACAGCCTGCCAATGGCAGACGCCTACATATCCACCGGCTTTGGAGTACGACTAGCACCAGGGACTCTGTCTAAAAATGCCAGCTGCGAAGATTCTGGAACTTATGTCTGTGTGGCAAGCAATAATATTTTCCCCGAAGTTTGGTCTAGGAAATGGGTTCATGTAACAGTTAAGTGTAAGTTGTATTCTATATTTATATAACCAAAGGATGATTTAGCTTTTATACACTTGAAATAATAAAACTATGTACAAGTGATAGGTTTTATAAGACATGTTAAAGAGTTAAGTGTAAGTTACCTTTTATATTTATACAAGCAAATGAAAACTTTTTAAAGGATTTGATATATTGTAAATTTAAAAAAAACACTCGTTACATGTATTAGATTTATTAGACATGTTAGATTTTTTTTTTAGAAAAAGTTCAAATTATTACGTTGGTTTGACTAAACTGCCAATATTAAAATGGCGCATCCAGTATACAATATTTCCTTAGTACAAATGTTGTTGTCAGTCAGTCAGTATAGACAAAAAAGCTTACTGCTTAATGATTCTTACTTTAGAGAGATGCCCGTGTTTAAATTTAAAAAATATACTTTAGTGTTATATATGAAATCCCTAGCAATTCACATTTTCTAAAATATACTTCTTTTTAAAATAGAAATATTTTGTTTAGCTTTAGTTAAATTAACATTAAATATTAGAGAATGCAAATTTATAATTTTTAAATAAAAAATGAGAAATAAAAACAAGTAGCATGTTATAATTATGTTGCCGTTAAATGTTCTCTATTTAGGTAACCTGAAATTGAGAACCCAGATGAATGAAACTCGAAAATTGTATGCAGCAATAGGCGGGAATGAAACCATTGATTTTGAACTGCTGCTAGGGAATTCCCGAATATGGAAATATGAACTTTCTAAGGGAGTTAAACACGATCAAGTTACTTTAGTAACTGATATAAATGGCAACGCTGCTTTAGAACGTTATGCTATTGAACTCATGCAAATAACTGAAGTAAAAGCAGTAGTAAGATTACATTTTGTTATGCTAAATCAATCAGATTTTGATGTATATGATTTTAAAGTGCTGGACATGAATGGTGGGACGGTTACAAGCAATTTCCAAATATCAGGCAAGTCTGTTAGTCTAATGTTCGTTGGTTATAAGCAATAAATCGATTGAAAACTATTTTTTTTAAGATTTAAAATTAAACATATTTTCCGAACAATGCTTTATCAAACTATTTTAAAACAAAAAAAAAATTTAAAAAAAAACAACAAAAACAAATTACCACCAAATGAGTAAAAAAAAAAAATTTAAATTAAAAACTTAAAATGTTTTACAAAATATAACTTATACATTAAACGTACTAACTAGGATCTTTTAATTATGTAAATCGAAGCAACGAATAAACAGAAACTGTAGAAACAAGATGGTTGCACATTTAACTACAAACAATACTAACAATAAAACAACACAAATGATCCAGTATTTGTTAAAATGCAGCTATTGTTCTCTTTCAGAGAAAACGTCTAGTGATGTAAACGTATTGAATATTATTTCATATGTCGCAGCAATTTTATTTCTTTTGACAACAATCATTGTATCATCGGTCTTATATTGCAAGATACGGAAAGGTAGGCTCAAGAACAAATCGTTGTAATTATCAGATTTTATATTATAGATTTTTCGTTCAGTTACGTTGATTCAATTATATATTTTAACACAAATGTTTCTATTGTTATATAAGCTATTTAAAAAAAAATATCCTTTAATTTTTTTAGTATTGAACGTTTTAGAAACTATTTTTATTAATAGGCAAAATTGAACGTTCAATGAAAACTATAAAAACAAAAGAAGGCCATGTTTCAGAAAATGAAGTGGTAAAAACAGGTATGCTTTTTATATATTCAATATAATTTTCTGAATATTCTATTTTTAATTTCTTGCAAAAGTTGAAGGAAAAAGGAGGTAATGTATTCGTGCTTGAAATAAAATCTAGATTTCGACGTCTTAACTTTCTTAAGTCGGAAAACTTAGTATTTCGTATCTTGTTTGTGCTTGTGAATGGGTTTGTAAGTGTGTGTGTGAGTGTGTGCGAGTGTGTGTGTGTGTAAATATAGTAAGTTGAGTATCGTTACAATTATGTTGACGAAGAATTTATCTAATTTGTAAATCAATTTTCGACTAAATTCCAGTAACCGGAAGTGGTACTTACAATACTTCCAATTCCTCAAAAGCTGATAAATTGAGTGGAAGAAATTTTACATATAACTATAACATTGTATGCGCAAGTTTCTTTGAACGTTTCAACAACTTTCAGTAACCAGCAGTGGTACTTTATTTCCGTGGTAACACGATAACCTGTGTAATATCGTTTATTTTTAAGTGTAATCAGAGAACTGGAGAAATTAAAAGATAAAATTTCTGTCGCAGTTATATCCCTTTATTTATAAATGATTGAGTGGGAAAACTTTATAGTTTTTTATTAACTATCACACCTATTTGAAAATCGTTTAGTAATAATTTTAGAGAAATGGTTCTTTTATTTGTGTGTTGTCAAAGAACGAGGGAAATTAAAAGTTTGAATTTCTGACGCTGTTACCTCCCTTCATGTGAATAATTAAAATTAAGGAATAAAAGCGTTAAATTATTAACCCTTTAATACGACCTTTTTGAGAATCTGGTAGTTTTCCATGTGCCTACGCCACCAGAGCCATCTCCTTACCGAATATCATTGTTTTGTCGCCTCTAAGTGGTCGATCTAATTCAAGCACTTGAAAAAATGTATTGTATTTTTAAGGCCCCGGTCAGTTTAGGTCACTTTAAAACTGGATTAATGAAATGACTCTAATTTCCCCGTTATAGATACAGTGTACAGCAACATTTGTCAAGAACAATATCCCTGCAACTTACCTGCACGTACTGGATCTAATAGTTGTGAGTAACAAACAAACCAAACAAATAACATCACATACTTTGCTTTTATAGAAATATATTCTCATAAAGCATAGTATAAGTACTTTCCCGTCTATGTTTTTGCTAATAAAAAAACGTCTGTATTTTTATAGCCCAATTGGTTGTCTTCCGCCTTTGCTGCATATTTTACTTTAAAGCGCATGTTAGACCTTGCTAAGTAAAGGGTAACAACTTCCTAGAATTTTTTTAACAGTATTTGTCGTTTGTCTCAGTAAGTGTTATGTTTAGAGTTCTTTTATGTTTCCTATTTTTTTTAAAATATACTCTAATCGGGTTGTATTTCAGGGAACAAAAGAAAAGATTCTGAAACAAAGGAACATCACATTGGTAAATAAGTAAATTAAAAAAGTAATATATTCGTATGTAATCAGTTGAAACAATTTCAAAAACACAAAAGGGCCTAAGGGAAATATTCTCTCATATTTTCTCATATGTGTATGATATATTAACATGTTATGGTGATGTAATTTTTTTTTTAAATTATGTAGTATATTAATATTTTATTAGCATATAGTAATTTTAAATAAATAAAGTTTAACATTACTTGTAATATAATATACTAAAGAAGAAAAAGAAATTATCATTCTGTCGCGAGTGTTCGTCATAATAATCCATTTTTTCTATTTATAAAATTTCCATTTTTCTAGAATCTTAATTTGATGCAATATGTAGATCTAGTATTATATTTCTTACATTAAAAATATATCATAAGTAGTTTAGTATTTCACGTTTTATGTTTTTAGAATATTACGTTTGCTTACAAATAATGTAATTGTCCATCTGCATGTACCAACAAAGAATCCTTAAGAACAGATTTGACACATAAAATGTGTTACGATTCACAAGGACCAAATCATAAATATTTTAACGGTAACGGTATGTCAATTATTTAAATTTGCATTCAACATGCTAATTTTAAGACACTAGTTTCTATACATCACATGTGCATACAAAACTATTAAATTTGTGTGAATTATTTTAAGTAAAACAAACTTCCTTTCCAGGCCCAGTTGAACAGGAGTCGAATGAAAATATGAACCAAACAGGTAACCAATCCATTTAATCTTTAATAGAATATTTGATTAGTTGCTACAATTGCATTAGATTTTATTAAAATACAAAATAAAAGCTAAGCACTGAAATTATATTGGTTTGACTTGTAGTTGAACATGGGAATATTAAAACCGTTAATTTCACTACTGCTGTCTTGTTATTTCAATTAGTACAAGCAATACAATATATGTAGGAAACGGTTTCATAAGACATAAAAAAAAGTTAATTTTAGACACTTTGTGTATGCAATTTTATCAATTCATTGGATCAGCTATTAATAATAATAAAAAAATTTATACATGTTATAAAATAAAAACAAACAAACATATATTTCCTTGTGTATTAGATTTGTGTTTCCTTTTTAGAGTAGTTTTGCTTAGGTTTAAAGCACAAAGCAATAAGAAAGTTTACCTTTCACCAATCCGAAGTTTAACGTCGTTGATTTTCCTTGCATATCTCCAAGATGGTACCTAATCTATTTTTAAACATCGAAATTGTTTCGTTTCTCTGCACTAAAATTTAGGTTTCGTTTTTTAATAGAAAAGTATATTGGCAGAGGCGTAGCAACGCCTCCCGGCGCCCGGGGACAAACTTTCAATTCCCCCCCCCCTAACCCTTCCATATAATTTTTATGTTTATAATTCAGAACTACAGCTAAAATGAGCTTTTAATTTTTTTTCCCAACCCATTTTGGCCACCCTTATAAGGGCGCGCCCGGGGACATATGTACCCCCCATGCCTTCACTACGCCTCTTTATATTGGAATTATATTTTCATTTTAAAAATTATCTTAGCTATTAACGTATTTTTCTTATGGTATTTTCATATGATAAAATATTAATTTTGTTAATCGTAAATAAATTGAATTGTTTTGCAGAAAGTCAACAATATCCAGATCTTGGTGTGGCAAATTGTTCGAGTTTTTTGTAACGTTTTACACGCCTGAGTCTACTCAAGTAATGAGCAAATAAACTATGTAATTTATTATTTAAATATGTTGTATACCAACTTGTCTACGACGTTTTAAAATAAAATTTTGTTTAATTAATCATTAGATGCGTGATTTGTTCCTTAGCGAGGTTTAACGAACATACAGCTTTTGTAAATGGGGAGGAGGGATGGAGAGGCGTAGCGACCCCTCCCGGCGCCCGGGGACAAATTTCAATTTGCCCCCCCCCCCATATATTTTTTTATGTTTATAATTCAAAACTGAAGCTAAAATGAGGTTTTAATTATTTTTTTCAAACTCATTATAGCGCTCCTATGGTCGGCGCCCGGAGACATATGTACCCACCAGCGGCTATTGGTGTGTGTTTGATCAGGGTATTTTGGTGCGAATGAAACTTGGTACGATATAAATTGAATGTATGACAATATGACACGTATGAAAGATTGTAACGTTTGATGTAAAAACAATGTTGCTGTATAGTGCAAATGAGTTTTTTCCGTATGTTATGAGGAGACTGTGTCTTGTCCTGACTATTCAGATAATCTACTGAGCTGATTTCGTCTAAAAGTATAAATTAACATAGAGTGGAAATGTACTACAACTTTTGTGAAATTATTCAATCCTGTTCGTGAATTAGTGATGAAGTTTGAGAAGGGATATTGGTAGTGGATATTTCTTCACACAAACCCAATTGTCAAAGTCCTAATTCAGAATGGAGAAGAACACGCTTTTTTTTTTCATATACAATTTTTTTTTAGTTTTGAGGACACTTCAAATGCAGCTGATTTAAATATATAAACACATGCCACTTTTTAAACATTATTTATATAACTTGAAATCGGAGAGGCGGGCTCAATTATAGACTGTGTTTAATACGACTTAGATTTAAGATAACCTGGTTAAATGCTCCTACTGGATTTAACGCTGGAAAACAGTGTAATTGTGTCATGGAATTTAACTCAGTTATCTTCCTTCTCTAAATCACATTTCTCCATGAACCAAACACGCCTATATGTTTAGTAAAACAACAATTATATGGATCACTTGGATCACAATGAAGATTTATTACTTAATGTTAATTCTAAAAGTAATGATCACATTACGACGACACTTTTATTGTAATATTGACAAATGTCTTGGTTGAAAACAATTTTGTTTCACTTAAAATATTTCAATGAAAAACTATCCTATTTTTTGTTTTATGCAGGCTGAATATATTAAACACTACATTATCTAATTAAATACTTCATGACGGAAAAAAATGACTTTTTTTTAAATTTTTGTGATGATTACATACGCTATGTGGTATCAAATATCTGATGATATGAAGGCTAGTGATTTGCCTATTATAATTCATGAGTAAGTGGGCGAGGAGGACGACTATTCTATGAATCTGATAAAATGAGAAGAGCCATTACGACACTGATAGCTCTAGATAAACGGACAGTTGTCTTCAAGTAACTCACATTTTGGTTCATTATTTACAATCAATACATTGTCACTGTCACTGTACATAATACCAGTTCGGTTAAAATCAACATAAACGGTGTTTACATTACAAAAATGATTCTGCTGAGTCTCCAGGGAATCGTATATGCAATATAAATTTTAGCCAAAATTATTCAGTTCACTCCATGAATTGATCTAATTTTGTCAAGTAGAACTGTAAAAGTGTAAAATTTGTTTCCACTGTGTATCTTTAATTCGTTGCTCCTATTTAAAGAAGTAAGACTAAAATAGTTAAATACGAGCCCCTATTATAAAACAGTATACTTTAACGATTAATTCACCGATAATACGCATGGCTTCGTAACAAAAACTTTACCTATAGGTACCTAAAAAGTTAGAAGAAGCAAGCACTCAGAAAATTGTTATTTTTAAAAAGGGTACGACATGCCGTTTTATTATAATAAATACAAGCAGTAGATTAGTTTTTTTACTTTCTCGTATATACGTAGTATAGAGAAAGTATTGTAATCGTGCAAAAAAAAATCGAGATTTTTACAAATCTCGACGTTTTACACCTCACTGATACGGAAAAAAATAATTTTGCAATCTTGTCCGTATGTCTGTGTGTGTGTGTGTCTGTCTGTCTGTCTGTCCGTGTGTAAACACGATAACTTGAGTACCGTTACAGCTAGGTTGATGAAATTTCATATATAAGTATTTTATCAAAATCGTAGATCCGTATCAACTTTTGAGCGATTTCCGATAACCGGAAGTGGTACTTTTCCTACTTTGAATTTTTCAAAAGCCTATAACTTGAGTACTATTTCAGATAGATAAATGAAATTTCACATGTACGTAAAAGATCTAATTCTCTACCTTCTGTTAAATTTTGAGTAATTTCCGTTGACTGGAAGTAGTAATTTACGCTACTTCCGATTTCTCAAAAAACTAATGTAAATTTTTAAAGTACTAATAATATTGCGCACTATTATACGCGTTTTTATTCGGCGTTTGCTTGGTGCGCAATGTTTTTTTTATGAGATTCTATTCTATTTTTAAAAGTTTAAGTATTTAAAATGGATTAAAAATCATAACTATATCCCCAGTTACCACCCCCTGTTGTTTTATATAAGAATATTCGAGAAAGTTTAGGGGAGTTCACTCCCGGTTTATTTTAATTAATTGAAGGAACAGCAAGCAGTGTTTCTTCCAGATATTTTTCTCCGGGATTGTTGCTACAAAAATTTTCAGAGGGAGTGGGGGTGGGGGGGGGGGGGGGGGGGGGGTTGGGGAAGGTGGACACTGGTAAAACTATGTCTTTTTTTAATAGAAATTATGTTATGTTCGGGGGGAGGGGGGTGGTAGACTCTTCTTTGCCCCCCCCCTCTCCTGATGACACGTCTGGAAGAAACATTGGCAGCAAGGTAACATTTCAAAATAGTGTAGATCTACCGTCTAACACTGGAACTCCAAGTTACAAGTGAGTAGGCGAAAATCGGGGGTGGGGGAGTGGGAAAAGGGCGAATCTTAAATTACAGATTCCATTAGAGCAGGAAGTGGTCTTTGCTGCAGTCTCGAACGGCTTGTGGTGTTTCTAGGTTGGTTATCTACATTGTTGTAAAAGATAACACTAAAATATCATCATGCTTGTGGTTATAATATATTAATCAGCTTTTTAGAAATGCAAAATACGACCCATTGTTTCCGTATTTAGCCTGAGTTTAATTCTTTCTAGATAGTTTGCTGTCATCAGTTGACGAGCCACAACTGGCCATGTGTCGGAGCTCAAACATTTGGGTTAGCAGCTATACGCTCTATCACACAGCCGCGCAGTCCCAGATTATGGAACCCATAGTGCTAACAATTTTCATTAACTTTTGTGATATCGATATAAAATAAACCGGGAGTGACCTCCCCTAAACTTTCTCGAATATTCTTATATAACTTGGAATATAGACATGATTTCTAATTACTTAAACTTTGAAAAATAGAATAGAATCTCATGGAAAAAAGAATTGCGCACCAAGCGAACGCCAAAACAAAATGTGCATAATAGTGCGCAATATTATTAGTACTTTATAAATTTACATGCGTTTTTGAGAAATCGGAAATAGCGTAAATTAATACTTCCGGTCAACGGAAATTACTAAAAATTTGAAAGAAGGTAGAGATATAGATCTTTTACTTACTTGTGAAATTTCATTTATCAATCTGAAATAGTACTCAAGTTATAGGCTTTTGAAAATTTCAAAGTAGAAAAAGTACCACTTCCGGTTATCGGAAATCGCTCAAAAGTTGTTATGGATCTACCATTTTGATAAAATACTTATATATGAAATTTCATCAACCTAGCTGTAACGGTACTAAAGTTATCGTGTTTACACACAGACAGACAGACACACACACACACAGACATACGGACAAGATTGCAAAATTATGTTTTTCCGTATCAGTGAGGTGTAAAAAAAATTTTTTTTATATATCTACTAAATTTTACTAACATTATGTCTCCTTCTTTTCATTCATGATTTGTTTTCCAACCTTCGTAAAATTAATTTAAATTCAACGAAACGTCTTGGCTGTTTTAAGGCAAATGTTTTCAGTGGCAGCATTCACAAATTATGAATTACTGAAAAGTAGAAAATAAAACAACTAAACAGCGGCTCGTTGTGTTTAAAAAACAAGTGTATGGCTGATATGGTTGGCGCATGTGACCATACTAAGGCCTGTCGTACTTTTTAGAGGACCTTTATCGACCTTGTCCCAGATATGCTTTTAGCATAAGCACATGTGTTTCTCTAGGGGCGCTTATCTTACAGAGGGGTGTGCTTCGTGAAGACTGACTGTTACGTCTCTAGATCTTGTGTTTCCAAACCAGCGTGTCTGATGTTTGTAACTGTCTTCAATGTTGAACGTTATTTCGGATGATTCTTCTAAACACTCGTAAATGTTGATCTATTTTAAACCATAAATTTTAACAACAAACAACAAACGCAAACTCACAAATTTACATTGTATTTAACATGAAAATTATCAATACATGTAAAAACGCACATTATCATGCACGTTACAATTGTTCATACAAATATACGAATGACAAATAATTTATATACACATGCAGTTGCACATGTACAAAACACATATGTCCATTTGGAGGTAAAGGTTTACTGAAATAAACACCAAATACGTTGTCTATTGTCTGGTTTTGAGCGTAGATTGTAATATTAGCCTCTACCCCGAGGCCTTATTTTTTTGTCTCGTATACAAAGTATAGCAAAAAAAGTATTTCAATGGTGCAAAAGATTAAAATAGAGTTTTTTTTTTCAAATCTCGACGTTTTACTACTCTATGATTCGGAAAATTTGCAATTAGGTCTGTATGTCTGTGTGTCTGTGTGTTTCTGTAAACTCGGTAACTTGAGTACTGTGTACCGTTAACTGTCGTCTGCTTTATCAGGACGCTTTGTAAAGTATCCCCCCACTTGTGATTTTGCTATCGAGAATAATCTCCCCGTGTCTCTTCATAAAAGAAGTTATCTCCCACTTTTGAGTTATCACATTTTAAAGTCCACACACCAGTTGTGTTTTGATTAAATCACTCCCAACCTTTCCATACTCGGTCCATTTAGTAAGAGAAGCGAACTCCCCCACATATGTGAACCTGATGGTACATGGAGCAAGTGAAGTAGAGTTCCCCTATTTCTGTATGATGGGCGTATGGAGCGATACTGAGTCCTGCACTATGCATGGCAGCTTTTTATTTTCCTTAATGTTAGTCTGGTACACAACATATTTGCATTATTTTTGTGTGAATATTGCAGCAGTGAATTGTTTATTTGCCAAATCAGGTAAGAAAATAATTCTACTTGTAAAAACTTACTGCTGGTTTTAAATATTGTTAATATGGCCTGTTGCTAACAATATCGCGCCTATCCCTCCATATTTGTTGCATTGGTAGAATTTAATGGTCTTCTGTGTAACTCAGTTTATCAGAATCAACTTCTCTTTACCATTTAACAAAGATCCAGTCTGTTTAGTAAAATGAACTAATTTTGCATGACTTAAAGTTTAAGAATGACTTCTTTTTTATGAAACCATCAGATGTTTTCTGCATATTTTTTTTTAGTTTTTGAGAAGTAGCATTCATAAGACTGTGGCAATTAATTATTTCTCTCTCTCTCCTTCTCTCTCTCTCTCTCTCTTACGTATAAAGACGTACGCTATTTTCTCGGTCAAACTAATTCAAATTACTTTTTAAAAAAACAATGACCATTTGATAGCCGGGTTTTTAAAGGAATCATTTTTGTCTCTTAATCAGTGTGTTGATTAAATATGGTGTTCTGCTGACTAATAATGTATATCCTATAATTTGGTTTTTTTTTCCAATAGGTATTAATAGCCTATGTTATTTTAAATATGTCGGATTTTTAGCTATTTAGCTATTTCTTTGCTTTGTCATTAATATTGTTCAGCGTGTAGTAAAGCACATTGCGTTTTAACCAATAACTGTTTTATAAAATATTTTTCTCAAACAAGTATAACATTTAAAATATATAAGTCTAACTCGCGTGTAACGGGTAACGACGGCTAGTATTCTTATATAACACTACGGGGTATGGCACCGCGGGATATAGACATGATTCTTAATTCGTTTTTACTTTCTCGTACACGAAGTATAGAGGACGTATTGTAATCGTGCAAAAGATAGAAATCGTTGTCCATATGTCTGTGTGTGTGTTTGTGTGTATGTCTGTCAACACGATAACTTAAGTACCGTTGCAGATAGGTTGATGACGTATAATGTCAACTTTGTAGTTCTTTATCAACTTTTCAGCGATTTCCAATAACTGAAAGTGGGGCTTATTCAACTTTAAGTTCTTCAAAAGCTCATAAGTTTATTACTGTTTCAGATAGATTAATGAAATTTCACATGTAAGTAATAATCTAGTTCTCTGACTTCTGTCGAATTTTTAGTAATTTTCGTTGACCGATAGTAGTAATTTACGTCATTTCTGTTCATTCGTTCATTCGTTCATTCGTTCACCTGTTATGGTGTGATCGGATGTAAGAGCACAAGACTTGTAATCTGTGAGTCTCATTCCCACCACTGGTTCGAGTTCGTTGGACGTCCCCCAAAACGTATGGGTAACTGACAAAGGTTAGGGAAAGTAAAACGGATACGTATGGTGTTAATTACAATATCTCTTCATATGGTACTTTACTTAGTGTTAAGATTCGTAAAATGTTATCTTTTGACTGAAAAAATGAAACAATATTTTACTATTTCTATCAGGAATGAAACAATGTCAGCTAAAATGAGAACATTTAGAGAACTAGTGCTGGTAGCAATTGTCTTCATTCAAGTAATCACTTCCGTCGATATTCGAAAGGGTAAGTAAATTAATTGAAAACGTTTTTTTTTCTATAAATACATATTTAAAGATACTTATGGACCGGAAACATAACTAGATATCAATGTACAATAATAACCATGCAAAAATTATTTACGATAATTATTGAACGAATGAACGAATGAACAAATGAAAGAATAAACCAATGAACCAATGAACCAATGAACCTATGAACCAATGAACCAATGAACCAATGAACCAATGAACCAATGAACCAATGAACGGATGAACGAATGAACAAATGAAAGAATGAACGGATGAACGAATGAACGAATGAACGAATTAACAAATTAACAAATGAACAAATAAACACATGAACAAATGAACACATGAACAAATGAACATATAAACAAATAAACGAATGAACAGATGAATAAACGAACTGCTTAACAGGTGAACAGTGGAACAGATGAATCGATGAATCGATGAATCGATGAATCGATGAATCGATGAATCGATGAATCGATGAATCGATGAATCGATGAATAGATGAATAGATGAATAGATGAATAGATGAATAGATGAATAGATGAATAGATGAATAGATGAATAGATGAATAGATGAATAGATGAATAGATGAATAGATGAATAGATGAATAGATGAATAGATGAATAGATGAATAGATGAATAGATGAATAGATGAATAGATGAATAGATGAATAGATGAATAGATGAATAGATGAATAGATGAATAGATGAATAGATGAATAGATGAATAGATGAATAGATGAATAGATGAATAGATGAATAGATGAATAGATGAATAGATGAATAGATGAATAGATGAATAGATGAATAGATGAATAGATGAATAGATGAATAGATGAATAGATGAATAGATGAATAGATGAATAGATGAATATATAAATAGATGTCAATAAATCAATAGATAAATTAAAGAATTGATAAATAGATGAACAAATAATGAAAATAAATAAAGTCTTAGCTTTTTAAAAATGTCTCTACTCTAACGGGCATTGTATTTAAAAAAAACGAACTAAAACGCCTTTTTACCAGCACCATCAGCATGCCAGCCGTACGAAGAAGGATCCGATGTTAGTTTCCAATGTACAGACAGCAACCGCAGTAGAGACCTATACTGGCATCACAATGATGCACGGGTTGCTACATGCCTTCACAATTCAACCAAATGCTCTTCAAACTACCACGTAGTTCGTGAAAACGGGACCAGTATTATATCCCTAATTGGCATCAGCAGACGGGGTCCATCGAAAGAGGGTCGTTGGCGCTGTGGATACGATTCCCCCGACGAGGATCTCTACCATTGTGACTTAATTATTTATCGTTAGTATTTTTATCTTATTTATAAAGTCTACAAGCATGTCTTTCAATTTAAAACAACCATATATCAGGAATACCAGATTAGAATGATTAAACAACATAGAATGTTTAAACAAACCATGCACATATGTACGCATGCACCAGCACATGCTCATGCATTTACACAGGCTTACGAAGAGGCACACATTAGATATCATTTAAATGAATCGTTTGCTTTATCACTAACTAGGCATACTGCCTAGCTTCGCTTAGGTTTCAGAAAACATTTGAGAGTTTGAATGCTAAGTAATTAGTGATTGGCTGATTTAAAAAAAATTTTTTTAAACAATAATAGTAATTTTGGAAATAGCTGGAATGTTCACAATTTATTAGTTTAAACATAACTAAAACTACAAAGGTTCCCTAAACAGTATAACTCATATTTATATTATATTGACTTTTAAAATTTTTAAATTTAATTAAGATACATACTTTAAAATTTTACACAAATTGTACTCAAATAAATACTATACTTCGTCATTTTATGTTTGTGTTTAAAATAATATAAAATTGTTTGAAAAATATTTATTTTAAACAACTACTTCCCTTGTAAATTGAACGAATGACGTTGTCTTTGTTTACTTTCTTTTTCACATACAATTGTGAAAAAAGTTTTTGGTTACCCTCCAGGGTCGGTCTACGACCTCACAAAATATCAGAGGTATTGTTTGGCTTTTTTTTTTGTATAGCTTATGTAAGGAAAATGTCACTCGTGGTAACTTTTTAGCCCTCCAATATTTCATCCATACGGCTGATTCATTTACACAGCTCTATGCAAAAAAGTGAACAAGATGTACAGAGCCAAAGTTCCAAAACATTGTTTTGAACATAGTAATCGTTTTTCACCAAATTAACAATGTTTATATAGGGAATTCGGACCGGTCAGTTCTAAAGCCCTTCAGGAATTTTCCCGAAGATAACGCCTACCTATAGTGAACCCCGCGGGTATTTCTACGACCTCATGTGTTATGATTGGGTTTGTACGTCCAGATATTCGTATTTTTTTTTTTACAAAAAACAGTACTATTTTTATATAAGGAAATATGGCCTCTGGTCAGTTAAAACATTGTTCAGAACTTTTCCCGAAGGAAGCATACTTTTTTTTCCTAATCCCATTGGACAGACGTACATTCCCAGTTTTTAACAGAGCTCGCCGTGCGAGCAGAGGCTGACCGATACTACTATCCATAAGGCTTGTTCTTCTTCTTCGTGCTTAATTTATTTTTAGTGTTGGAAGGGATCGAGCCATATCTGCCAGAAGGTTTGAGCTCAAGACTTTTTCGAATTTATCAGCCATTAGCTTTAGCCGACTCTACCAAGCCTCCATCACAATTAAGGATACGTGCTTACATGAACAGTTTATCTCATAATTTCTATTACATTGACTTTAACTATTAATTTATTTATTTATTTAGGATACGTAACTTAATTAACAACTTAATTTTTTACTAAAACAAATGCTATACTTCATAATTTTATGTTTTTGTTTAAAATAGTATACAATTATCTGAAAAATAATTATTTTTAAAAAGTTACTTCCCTTGAAAATTGAACAAATGACGAATGTCTTTGTTTACTTTTTTTTTTAACAAACAGTTGCTATGCTTTTATAAGAAAATACGGTATCAGGACATATTTTACGACTATATTGGCTTTTTCCGAAGGGAATAAAGTTTTTTTTGTTACCGTCCAGGGTAGGTCTACAACCTCACATAATATTAAAGGGATCGTTCGCCAATTTATTTATATACTGATCTCATATAAGGAGAATTTCACTCGCGGTCATCTTTTAGCCCTCGTCGAGGGCTTTGAGTCTGACCAACATTTTTTTCCATTCGGCCAAGTCATCTATAGAAGTGAACGCAAAAAATTAGCATGATATACAAAGGTTAAATACCCTGAAAATTGTGTTGAAATTACCCTATTTTCCCCATAAAATACAAAGATTATATAAGGAAATACAACTGGTCAGTTTTGACCACTTTACGAAGTTTTCTCTGATATGCCGAGTTTTTAATGACACACCTAGTCATTCTTCAACCACCTCACAAAATATCAAGGGGGTCGTTCGGCAAAAGTTGTTTTCGTAATATGGCTCATATAAGGCGCCGGTCAGTCGAGGTAATTTTGGCTCCCTCTTTCTGGACTTTGCGGCCAACCGGCACCGGCCCTCGTGTTCTATTGCCCCAAGGCAGGATCCTGCTAAATTTGAAGCGCCTACGGAGCCGGGAAGTGCCCTGTCGGCCACCCGACCACTTACATATGGATAGTAGCACGCACATACTTAAGCTAAAATGGCAATATATATTTTTAAAATGTAAAGAACCTTTAAGAACTTCACTCAATGGCGATGTATCCAAACCAGGGGCGGAACTACAATATGTTACTCATATAATACAAATAATATAATACAAATACCCATATACTTTTACTAGTAAGTGTAAATATTATTCACAGATGCTCCAGAAAACCTTGATTGCAAGCCCCCAGTACTAACACAAGAAGAAAAACAGCACGTTGTAGTTGTGAACTGTTCAGCTTTCAACGTTTTCCCAACAGCCAATTGCACTTTCTTTAGACGGATTTCATTGAACAATGACGTAAAATATTTTTAAGTATAGTGGATAACTTAGTATCATTTTTAATTCTCCTATACAGAGTATAGAGGAAGTTTAGCTGTCGTGCACAAAAATCACATGAAATTTTGAGTTTTCACCGTTTAACACCTCAGTACTTCACACGGAGTAAAGGGGACTTATTTTTGTCGGGCAAAAGTTAAAAATCCATATTTATCAAAATCTCAGCGTTTTACGCGTCATCTGGTTAAAAAAACTGGACTAAGTAATAGTGTATTAATGTCTCTCTGTATGTCTGTCTGTCTGTCTGTCTGTCTGTATGTGAACACGATAATATCTGTACCGTTACAACTAGATTGACGAAATTTATATATAAAAGTATTAATTCAAATTTGTAGCTCAATATCAACTTTTCAACCGGAAGTGGAACTTATTCTCCTTTCGATTTTTTCAATAACTTAAGTACTGTTAAAGATAGATGTTAGAAATTTCACGCATAAGTAAACGATCTATTTCTCTGTTGTTGTTTTTTTAAATTAAATTTGGAGTAATTTCCGGTGACCGGAAGTAGTACTTTACCATATTTCGGTTTTCTTAAAAATCGCATTTAAATTTATTTTTACTTGATTTCTCATCTTTCTTCATAATGTTCTGCCTTATTATACACAAATTATTTTCCTGTCATTAGGTGGGCAATTCTTTTTTTCTAAGAAATTTATTATAGTTTAATAATTTAAGTAATAGAAAATTGATTTTTTTAGTGTTATTTAAGAATATATAGGGGAAATCACTAAAGCTTTATTAAAAAATATTTATAAAATTAAGAATAGTCAGTTATGTTTGATCTTCCTTTAATGGGACATTGTTTACACAATGCGTTGATGCGATTACTTAAAAAAAATATAAATTCATTTTAAAAACTTGAGGAAAAACAAATTAATTAACAACGTCTGCTAGGTAACATATAATGTCTTTTATTCCCCTTTCTTTTTGCTTAGATATGTAATGTTTATCAAAATTTCAAATTTAAATTGATAAAGGTGGGTTATTTGTTAGCCTATAATGTTAACATTTTCGGGTAAATGGCCTTCAGGTAAAAGTTATCCGGGCTTGTGTCTTTCGGGAATTCGTCGTAGACTCCTTCTTTCCGTCTGTTCTATTGTTTGTCCTTCTGTCTGTGGGTATTATGCTTGTTGTTGCCTAATGATAATATTTAAAACTAATGCAAGTCTAATGCGGTCTTAGACGCAATATTTAAAAGGGGTTTGATTAATGCGTTACCAACCCTTTATTCTTAGATGCGTGACTTCGTTTTCTAAAACTGCGTTATTTAATTGTAAACAATGACTATATTATTTTTCTTGGATCATATTTGTCAGGGCATGGGGTTGCCTTCACTACCGCCCAGAACACCCTAGGGTGTACTGAATGAAAGTGTACTTTATTCAATCTGTAAAAACGAGGTATAAACCACTTCGGTAATCACCCAGGTGTTAGGGAAGTAACGGGTCGCTCTAGTAGTAGGCCTACAGCTCTGGATCGGTTTAATCGTCAAATTTTGTATCTATATTGTAGGTGGTTCTTTCGACCCCATCTTATACATAGTCTATCGCACTGTCTAAAATGAACATAGGCACTCGTATCGCTCACAGGAAAGTTTTTTTTTTCACAAAAACCTCTCCATGAGTATTCTCATCATTTTCCCAAATTTAATTGACGGTCGGATGAATGGTGCCGTAATTCATAACGGACAAACCAACAAAGAACCACACAAACCTATAAACTTTTATTTATACACTAGCGTGTAATAGTGAGATTTTGGTAACCGCCCAGGTGTCAGGAATGTAGAGGGGCACTCTCGGGAGCCCCAGATTACACTACCGCGTACGTCCACTGTCTCCTTAAAACTAACCCAATGCGCCAAATAGCATCCTGCCGGGACGCCGGCGGGCTCGCTTGATTCAATTTAGTGAACGACTCTTCTACCCATTCTTATGCATAGCCTTCCGCACTGCTTAAATCACACGTAGGCGCCATAGTGCTCAAGCGCTAGCCCGTGGCCCAAAATCGTATTCTGCTGGGGCGCCGGCGAACGTGCCTGATTAATTATAGTGAACAACCATAACACCCCTTCATATCCTTAGTCTATTATACTGTTTAAAACGAACGTAGGCGCCATAGCGCTCCACAAAGTGTCATGGTATCCGGATGAACGGTGTCGAACCGCATCCGACATTTTTTAAATACCGTATAAACGAAAAAAATCGCACCCTCACGGGGCGCCACCCTTACGAAATTGAAATGATTTTTTTGAAGAAACCTCCCTTGGAGTTTTTTTTTAAATCAATTCCCTAACGTTTCATGCAATCAGATGAAATATATCAAATCGCAATCGACTTTTATTTTGTATATACTGCATAAAAGGAAAAATGGAATCTCTCCCTGTCGAGGCGCCACCCCTGCAAGTATGAATTTTTGTTCCTAGCAGAAACCTCCCCAACTTCACAAAGTTTCATGGTGATCGGATGAAATTTGTAGTAATGCATAAAAGACAGACAGACAGACACACAAACACACACACAAACACAAACACATACACACATACACACACGCACACAGGCAAACCCGCACGCACACACACACACTGCTTTATATATATATATATATATATATATATATATATATATATATATAGAGAGAGAGAGAGAGAGAGAGAGAGAGAGAGAGAGAGAGAGAGAGAGATAGAGAGAGAGATAGATATAGATATAGCTAAGGTAACATTATATTTGAGATGTAGTATATAAATCCTTTTACTTTCAAAGCTACTTTTATTCTTTTGAAATAGGTAGAACTACAAACATCTTCTTACCGACAAGAAAATGCACAAGATAACCCGATATATTACAACTTATTTTGCGGCTTAACATATCCAATTAAGGATGATCTAGTTGGCAACTTGACCTTTTTTCTACAAATGTCGATGGACGTGAACAAAACATATGATAGCAACCAAACCAGCATCCATATAGGTATCACACTCTACATAGGCCTAGTTGATTAGTGTTTCTAAGTAATTCTTACTAGTTGAGCAATCTAACTTGACATCAAACTTACATATTAATGCACGTGTAATATATCACATAGTCCAATCCTCTGAGAATTATTTTAATCTAGAAAAACGATCCTTGAAATTATCATTTATAATCATATTACTTGAAATTGCTTTAGATATATTGAAGGAAAATTAATATAGTTCCAATATAAGTCCAATATATATATATATATATATATATATATATATATATATATATATATATATATATATATATATATATATATATATATATATATATATATATATGCAGACGCACCAAAAGCAACTTTGCTCGATGGCTGTTTTTCTAAGAGAGAAGACAACGTTTTCTGGCCCACTGATACAATCCACTGTAAATGTGAAATGAGAGATATTGATAATGGTACAATTAGTATTGTCTGGATTGATGCCGATCAGCGTAAAATCAATTACAATCCAACAATTGTCATCCATTACGATGATGGTAATTTATTTATGTAAATTGTACACACTTTAAAATAAAAAATCTCTATTACAGCTTTCAAACCCACTTTATTTTACCATTTAGTGAAATTATGCTATTGTATAACATGCTTTTCTTTCATGCTAAATATTAATTAAGATTTCTTTCCTTAATAATAAAAAAATCTGAATATTTGTAGATCTTTAATCAAGTAAATTGTTTTTTATCAGCATAATAAATATTATGAAGTATAATAGGGACGTGACACAAGCTTTATAATATATATATATATATATATATATATATATACATATATTTGCTTGTAAACATTACTTCCTAAACGTATTTTTTCTCAGATAAGGATACTACGTTTATTTGTGAAGGGACCAGCCGTTCTGGAAAAGTATACAATATTACATACATACCTAATTTTGCAGGTATGCAGATGAAAAGCTACAATTGGTTTAGTTTAAAATAGTTCATGTAAACTAATTCAACACATTGCCATTTATTCCAGTAATACTCATTATTAATTTTTTAGATTTGAACAGATCTCTAAAACCTTACACTTGTAACCATACATTGATTAGTTTACTAAAAGATATGTAGTATAATTAAAAGTACCGTTTTTTTTTATTTAGAAGTTGTTATAAATAAGTGAAGCTTTATTTGCTTCTCGTTCTTTGCTAGAAAATAAAATTTTAAAATTTTACAATTTAAGCTTATGTGTTATCGTAACAGCGAATTTGATCGATGCTAGAGGTATATTTTGTTAGTTTTAATTTTCATCTATGTAGTTGTTATTAAAATTGACGTTATTTTAATGAAAATATTGGATAACTTGAGTCAAGGTGTACTTGACTATTAATAAACAAGTAAGTTTGGTTTTAACTTTGTTGAGTTATTTTAGGTTATTAAAGATTAGCTTTTTACCATCAGATGCCGCTAAAGTAACACTATTCACCGCAAACGGAGAAAGAGACCTCAATGTTGAGAACGCCACGGTTGTGGAGTTTAGCTGTGAGGTGGACAGCAAACCACGTGGTACAGTTTACATCACTGACAGCTCAGGTCAACGACTGGACGGTACATCGAAACTTTTGACCTGCGATGACACGGGGACCTACACATGTCAGGCGTTTAATGAGATTTTCCACAGGGACATATCAAGACAATATGTTCATGTAACTGTTAAATGTAAGCTATTTTGGAAAGGGAAAGTAAAATAGTGTTAACATTTATGGTCATTTCCCGTTTGTGCCACGGACACAATGGGCTGAAGAATTAGAGTTCATCTGCTTCAGATACTTCGTCATATGGTGAGATGCGTGGTCAGCACTATTTCTTAACCGCCTGTTTCTTTAACGTGAGTCAGGCACACATCATAGTTGGGTGGCCTCAGGGATGTTCTACTGACCTAACTCGGAATTAAACACGAGACTCTTGGGTTAGCAGGCTAGCGCTCTACCGCTAGGCCACACCGTCCCATAATATAATGTGTTATGATGATGCTTAAATAATAGTGGGTGATTAATGCTTTATTGTATTTAAGTTTGGTATTTTGTAACAATTTTATAAAAATTACAGGCAATCCCTGGCTAGAACTAATCACCACCGGCTCTAAAATTCAACGAGTCTACGCTAACACGGCTGAAAATGTCAGCATTGACTTTGAGCTGAGTATGGGAAACACACAAATAATAAAGTATGAAATTTATAAAGATGGTAAAGATACGCCCACTGTGATGTATGCAGACAAAGTTGAAAACGTTGAATATGGTCGATATTGCATTCAATTTCAGTCCCTGAGTGAAACACATTACAAAATTACATTAAATATTTTTAATATTGAGAGTTTAGATTTTGGTACCTATACTCTCAAAATTTATGATGACAACGGTGATGTAGTGGAGGGTAGTATGGAAATTAAAGGTAAGTCCATTTTATTAATTAAACTGATTTGTTGTTATTGGGAAATCTTAAAACAACACTGTGCTCAATATTTAATAAACTTAACTTTTTAAGTTTTAAGGAAATGCATACTTGTAATTTAATAAATTTTGTTCAAGGTAAAGGTTTTGTGCGCAACTATAATCCTTCTTTTCAATAATTCTTTGTAATTTATGTTTAGTTAGACTCATAAATGTGAATTTAATATTTTATTACTAATTATTACACGCGTTAAATAAAAAAAAAATTAGCCATAAACATTGTCAAAGATTAAATGCACGCATTAAATAACTTTAAATTATTTTTTTTTGTTTTAGGAAATATATCAGACGAAGATCTTAATTTGTCTCTATTTGGTTCCACTGTTGGATTGTCTATTGCTCTTCTATTTTGTTTTGGCATAATATCTCTTATATGTAAGTAATACAAAACATAATTAATTAATTAATAAACCGACTACCAGAATAGAAGTCGAAAATTTGTTCTAATCACATGTTTAAAAACTTTGAAACACCATAAAACCATGTTAGTAGAAGGCAAATTTCGACCTGTAAAGCTTATGGTTGTTAAAGAGAAAAGTCCAGAGTTTAAACAAATGTAGCTCGATAGCTAGGCACAACCACCCATTTAGGAAAGAAAACTCCCGAATCAAACAACTGCTGCTTTGTATTTCGTCCTTGAGCGGATAAAGACTATGGGTGCAAATCCAGAAAGAAAGCAGGCTGAAATCGGAGTCAGCTGGCCATATGGGTGATACTAAATGCCTAATTGTGTTGAATTCAATACTTTTTAATATCTCTGTAGAATTTATAAGTAACTTAAATGGATTAACTATGCACAATAGCAAAATATGTACGTATTTTAAAATAAGCAAAATTATAGGGCACATGACATTTTACAAAAAAAGTTCAAGAGAGGTAAAATAAATTAACTGCTGTGTAAATAAAAGAAAAACCGTTAAATTGCTTAAAATATCTCAATATAATTTTTTGAAACAATCACATTTTACAAATTGATGCTAACACAAAATTTGAAGCAAGCCCATCTTGACCGAGTTAATTAAACTTTAAACTATTCTACTACAGCGTTTGTGGATTTTTTTTTTATAATTAGTTTGTACCGTTTATTCGTTTATTATTATTTAATTTCTATGTAGTTATGATATTCTCCAGGCTAGTATTTCACAAAGCTTATGTTTATTTTAATAATTTACTTTATACTTGTTTTGATTACGCCTCAGCATCTACATATCTATGAGAAAGTTTCATTTCCTTTGCGAACAGAGATAAAGATCGAGATAAAAAATAAACCGGGAGTGATGTCCCCTAAACTTTCTCGAATATTCTTATATAAAACATCAGGGGATGGGAACTCCATTTTAAATACTTAAAGTTTTCAAAATAGAATAAAATCTCGTAGAAAAAAGAATTGCACACCAAGTGAACGCCAAATGAAATGTGCATAGTAGTGCGCAATATTATTAGTACTTTATAAATTTACATGCGTTTTTTTGAGAAATTGGAAATAGCGTAAATTAGTAATTCCGGTCAATGGAAATTGCTCAAAATTTTTCAGAAGGTAGAGAATTAGATCTTTTACTTACTTGTGAAATGTCATTTATCTATCTGAAATAGTACTCAAGTTATAGGCTTTTGAACAATTCAAAGTAGAAAAAGTACCACTTTCGGTTATCGGAAATCAGTCAAACGTTGATACGGATCTACGATTTTGATAAAATACTTACATATAAAATTTCATCAAACTAGCTGTAACGGTACTCAGGTTATCGTGTTTACACACACACACACGACAGACACACACACAGACACACAGACATACGAACAAGATTGCAAAATTATTTTTTTCCGTATCAGTGAGGTGTAAAACATCGAGATTTGTAAAAATCTCGATTTTTTGTGTGTAAACATGGTGAGGGGTGGAAGCAGGCGTTGTAACTGAAATAGAAATGTAAACAGAAAGTGATATTTCAACGCCAAGGGTAGACAAAGGTACAGAATATAGTCCAAGTAAAGACAGAACAGACAGAACCCAACGGGATCCGAACCTACCATTCCACACGGCACCAAACGCCTCGCCCTCCGTGCATCAAGTCAGACGTGTAACCACTTCTGCCAATCAGCTCTACAAAAATAGAGGTTTCACGACAGACCACTGTCACAACTTGTGCAAGGAAGACGCGGGCTGGCGTGACCTTTAAACCCCGAAGGGTCTGACCGCTAGCCTCATAAACACAACAAGGACCATTATTCGACCACACAGGCGACACAAGTACAGGGACGACGATACAGACAAATAGTAGCTTCCTTAAATGGCGTTAAAATATATCACTTTCTGTTTACATTGCGATTTTTTGTGTGCACGATTACACAAGACTTTATCTATAGGCCTACTTCGTATATACGAGAAAGTAAAAATTGACATTGTGATACGGATAGGGATATAAATAGGGATAGGGATAAGGTTAGTAAATGTACGTAACAAAGCAAAAAATAAGAAATGTGTTCATTTTGTTAAGATTATTGTTTGTTATTGTTTGTAAATTTTAAGTTTGTTCTATATATAACATGTTGAGAGGATGGTGAGAGTGGGGGATTTATTACACAGGAGGTAACTGGCAGGGATAGTTTCTTTGGGGGAAGGGGGCCATGTTGGGGTTTGCTAATAGGGCTGGTAAGTAGGTCACCAACCAGTTATACGGCTCAATAAAACCTGCATGAGCCACAGAACTGGTTGGTGACCTACTTACCAGCCCTATTTAGAATAATTGACGGGGTCTGCAAAATATCCTACTGGTATTGGATAAATATAAGAAAGTTAATGACAATTATAATACATAGAAAAAATATAAGACTTTAGGTTTTAGGTTTACTTATCATATTAAACATTTTTATCATTAACAGGGCGAACTGGATCTAGCAGGTACATTTTAAATTGTGAAACATTTTTCCAGCATCTAGAATACGGGTTACCAATCTGTGGGCTGCTATCCCGTAAGGGGTCGATAGTGTTTTTCTGAGGGTGGCTAATTTGTAGACTAAACCAAACAAAACTATTGTTTTTTTAATTATATAGTGGTCGGGGGTCTCTTTTCTTTTACAAAAAGGGGTCACCATTAGAAAAAAGATTGGGATCCATTATTTAGAATTGATATCGATTCTTTTATTCTCCTTATTACAATTAATGTATATCTATACTAGAAAAGAAAAATAATATGTTAAGTTTTTTTTTTAAATCGATTACAATAGAATTTAAATTAAATGTGACACCTTTATTGATTATATACTCTAGCGCAGGTGTGAAAGCACAGAACAACAACACGACTAGCAACACGACTAACAACAGCACTGACAACATGACTGACAACGTGACTGACAACGTGACTGAAAACACGATTAACAACACGATTGACAACACAACTCGCAACACGACTGAGAACACGAGTAACAACACGATTCACACAGCAAGAACTAATACTTCGAAGAGAGAGGACGGTAAGTACAAAATCACATTTACATCCCCACTTTTGAGATATTTTTCAAACTTTACTTCTTTTTCCGATGCTAGGTGTGTGTTTTTTTCTGGGTTTTTAACGATATGTGAATGCGTTATAAAAAAATATATTCTTGTCTACAATTTACGTTGAATATTGTAACAGGTTACATAATATAAAACGCATTTTAAAATAATAATAATTCAAGATTCATAATGTGTATTCTACCTTAAGCACTGGCTTTCAGCATTTAGTTTTTAATTCAACAGATGAAGCGATATTACTGATCAGAGTTTATGTACGATAGATGTATACGAGTGTTACTTTTGATGTTGTAGTGATAATAGTGTATATATTATATCTTAGGGGATGCTTAGGCTTAGGTTTGGAAATATTGTACCCAGTAGCAGAGGAGTAGCGAGGGGGGGTGGCGCAGACCGCACCGGGTGAGACCATTTAGGGGGTGACACCAAGGCAAAATGTATCAAAATATATGCAGAAAAATGATAATTCCACTTAACTAAGTGATTAATTAGAGTGTTACATAGTCTTCAAAATTTGGCAAATCCCGACAAGGGTGAAGGGGTAGGGTGTAAACCTGCTAATGATAGAGAAAACATAGTACATCAAACTGTATTTATAAAAATCGTTAGTATTATATATAAACACAATTTAAAGCAATCGCCCTGGTGGTGGGGGGGGGGTTGAGTGGGGGAAAGTTACATTAACTCAATGTTGCAAAATATGCCTGAGGTAAACGGTTTTGTTGAGAATCGTAATAGCTTATGTGTTAATCGATGTATGGGGGGGGGGGGGGGGGGTAGGTAAAAAAATTAAATACCATAAAAAAATGTATGTGAATACATAAACACATGCGAATATACATACGTACATGGAGGGTAACAAAAAAGCATTATTCTCGTCGTAAAAACCTATTAGAGTCGTTAGATATGTCCAGTTGCTGTATTTTTTCATTTAAACAATTGTTTGTAAAAAAGGAAACAAAGACTACGTCATTTGGAATATGTACAGGGGAGGTAACTTTCAAAAGTAATAATTTTTAAATAATGTTTTTACTTTTTTTAAGAAAAAACGAAAATTACAAGGTATAGCATTCCTTTAAAATGATATTTCGTTATAAATTAAGTTACGTATTGTACTGAAATTGTGAAAATTAATTGCGAAAGTGATTTTAATACTGATTGATAATGATCAATGATTTATACTATTATGGAAGCCTTTGCGATTCTAATAACCTTGTGAGTAATACATTAGCTAAACTCCAACAATGCTTGCTTGACGTAAAATTACAAAATTTGTTTAAACTTAGGCCCTAAGCACTTCAAATAACAGCAAATCACCAATTAATTAATTGTTTAAATTCTCAAAAGATTTTTGGAAAACGAAGCGAAGCTAGGCAGTATGCCTAGTATATATATATATATATATATATATATATATATATATATATATATATATATATATATATATATATATATATATATATATATATATATATATATGTATGTATATTACGGGGGGGGGTGACACCATTAAGTACTTCAACTAGTGACACCCGACCTAGCTACGGCACTGCCCAGTAGCATATTTATGATTAGAGAGTAAAAAGAGTTTGTGCCTAAACAATAATAATAAGGAAAACATATTTATTAATTACTTCATATTGCATATTATATTCATATATTCATATAAATACAGTGGAACGTTGCTGTCGAGCAAGATAACTTCTTGCTTTAAGTAGGTAGGCTCTGAAAAAAAAAACCCGTGAGAAAAGACTTCAGAATAAATAAGCCTTGTTAATTTTGTGTGTGTGTGTGTATCTAAGTTAGGGACATTATCAAGGGAAATTATTTAGCATGCATCACCGACTCTTCTTAACACATGATTGTAATGTCAACGACGGCCATCTAGAAAAAAAAATACAACCGATCATAATTTCTGAACCCGTGAAGCTGACTGGGGTTCAATCGAATTTAAATTCAGAGTGACTATTAAAGAGAGCCCACACTTTTCTCAATATTATCTAAAATCTACATATTAAATTATATAATAACCAGATGTTAATCGGAAGTCCAAACACAGCTCGAACCACATCTGAATTTTAACACGTTGCTAATTGCAAGACATTAGGTTAAATCAATTATGACAAACGTATCATTTTAACATTTAAATATAGTCATGTTTATATTAACATATACTTTTGTTTCCATATCAAATAGCTCATACATCGGGAGACAGGTAATTATAAAGTTTGTGGCTAAATGTTATAAATTTTATGGTATATAATGTATTTTTTGTGTAAAAAATACTAATTATACTAAAATATTAACTTGTAGCATTAACAATTTTCTCTTGGACTCCAAAATAATTTTAATATAAAGTAATTTTTTTTTTACATATAAAGTAATTTATTTAAATTTTTCAGTTTCAACACGGCAAATGAAATAATAGGTCTTCTGGCTAATAGCTTAGGTAAGTCAAGGGTATTTTTATTTCAAATTTCAATTATTATCTGAAAATCTACTGTTTTTACTCTGTGTCTAAAAATATTCTAGTTTTCTTTTGATTATTCTAAAAAAGTTAAACAATTAATATTAACGAGCCGGCCCGCGGAATAACATACGCCGCTATTTAGTTGTTGTTTTTTTTACTTTTCAGTAATTAATAATTTGTGAATTCGACAGTACAAACGCTGACACTGAAAATATTTCTTTAAAACACTATAAATAGCTCGTTAAGGACCATAACCCCCCCCCCGTTCCTCCTCCCCTTCCCCCCCCCCCCCCCATCAACGTTTAAAATCGTTTCAAACTAAAGTATCTGCCCCTAATAGCCGTAACTAAACCCGACTCCACGAAGGTAAACATAGCGTGAACCACAGCTCACTAAGACCATGTAGGGGTGGGGATGGTAGGGAGCGCGTTTACAGCTTGTTTTCTAGCGTCTCCCAGAAGAGAATTATATATATAGATAATACTTGAATGGACTTAGTTACACATGCAAATTTTAGATTAAATTCATAAAATCCTCGTATCAAATTGAACATAAATGTGGGCATTATTTTACATATAAGTATATGATCGTATAAATGACCTCCGCTATTAGCAAGTGGTATTTTGCTCTATTTAGGGTTAGCGGAAATCCATATCTAGATTACAGTTTCAGTTACGTCGACGAAATTTCATCCACAAGCATACGATCTTTTGAACTTTTTTGTCAAGTTTTAAGTAATGTATGGTGACCAGAATGAGAATTTTATTCTATTTCTTATTTCTCAAAAGCCCTCAAAAGTAAAAAAAAAATAATTATTTCTATAAAGCAGGTTTTATGAACTGTTCTCACAAACCTCTAGATATATATTTATGAACCCCGATTCTATTAAATTCAAGAAAGAAAGAGGAACTTTATTTATGGGATGTTACACAGTAATGGAGTAAAAACAAATTTAAGTAGTTTTAAACGACTGCTGCAATGATAAAACAAATCTTACTAATTTATTGATGTAAGAAAACTTGATATGAGCACTATTAACATATTATCTGATGAGCTTTTTAAAATCATTTATTGAAACGGTATTTCCAAAGTGAAAGTTGTATTCATTTATCCACTATAGCTGAATTTTTATATATTTATTTTTTAAAGGCGTTATTAATATCAATTTGAATAGGAACAACTGTATAGACCTTGGTGCAATAGTCTGATATTCAAATTTCGTTGATATTATAGACGAAGCGGGTTTTTAGAATATGGTTGACATTGTAATTTAGTATTACCTCTAATGTACGTTTTTATGAGTCGACGCATATATATTTATAATTTACTCTACAGAGCCATACAGTGTCAATCAGGAAAGGAAGCCTACAGAAGAAACTCATTTAAAATCACCTTCTTCAGGTGTCAGAGGTTTTAAATTTGCATTTCTCATTAACATTATTAATTTTGTTTCAATATGGACTAAAACCAAATTTTATGAGATGTTTTTTTTTTCTAGAGACAAACCATTTGATAGATTTTAAGTGAAAATTAAATTAGCTTAACAGTTGTAGTTGATTTAGAGTATTCTATATTAATGTCTAGCAAACATTATTTATCTCTATTTGTTATAAAAATGTGTGTATTTCCAACTCATGTTCGATTTATGTTTAAATTTACTTAGCACTTGTAGTTTACACAGACTGTTTTATATTTATGTCAAGCAATTTTAACTTTTAAGTCATAACGTGGTATGGCTTTGAAACTGGAGCTTTAGTCAACATACATCATAAGATATTTCATTGATATTTTGGACTCTCAGATGTGTAACTTGAAATTATTGCGTTGGTTGAAGCTTTGTTTTAAATTGACAGTACCCCCTGTTGGAGATGACTCAAGTACTTCACAGTCGAATAATTTCGCTTTTCAAAGTATTCAAGGTATTGTCTACATTATTTGTAAACAGATGTATTTAATATTTTTATCTGGAACATGTGTTTAGTAACATTAAAATGTATTATGACTCAACTTGAAATTTGTTCTTAGAAACAGTCGACTTAAATTATATTTCAACCTTTCACGAAAAAAAACTATTATATTATTGTTGAACATTGGTTAATGATCGCGATACAGATAATGAACGTTCAAACACATGTCAGGAAGTTCAAGGCTATGCATCCCTTAACCCTGGCTCAAACGTGTAGACTCCTGATGGTTCTTCTAAGGTAAGAGTCATCTTATGTTTATTGTGTTTTGTAGAGCGTGGAAGTGATTAAAAACATTTTGAGCCCTAGTGTCTGCTAAACCGAAAGTTTAATAGCCTGGGACCACAACCAGTCAAGGAGAAACAATTCGATAATGTAACAACTGCTGCCTTGTCTATTGTTCTTGGTTAGAATAAGGCTCTGGAAGCATATCCAGAAAGAAAACAGGCTGAAATTGGAGTCAACGGATACCAAACGCGCATAACACGTTGACACGTAATATTTAATTGTGTTGGAGGTAATTTTTTTAGTATACTACGCACACCGCCTAGCTTCACAAACGTTTTCAAAGCATTAGGCCTATGCCTAAACTATTAAACTCTTATCATTAACTTACCCTTTATTTACGGAATTAGGTTCCGAATGACATTGCTTCTTAAACAATGTGTTATCATATAGCTTTTGGCACACTTAAAGCATATGTCGAAGGAAATTTTAATTGATACATTTTTAAGGGCCCAAACATATATTGGTACTTATAAGTACCGTCAGGAATGTAGGACATTTTTTCCAAAAAATAAAAAAAATTACAAAACAGGAAAAAACGATACAACGTAATAAATAATAATATGGCGATCATTATACCATATTTTTGTAATTTCCACACATAAACCCATCACAAAAGTATATTTTGAGTACGATTTTTACTGGATTTTCTAGCTGAACACATCTTATACATCAAACACAGCAAAAGGTGCCGACATGTCATGCTCCCTCATTCCTGATACATTCTTGTCTGTCGTCTTTCTGGTGTTGCAACAGTTGCCAGACTGAACCTGCTTTTGCTGGAAGCTTTCAATAGCTATTACAATGAACAGCATACATAAATATTTTGAAAACGAAATCCTAGTCATTCTGTACACTACTACTAGTAATAATAGTATAAATGTAGCCTACTAGAATTTTATGACAAGTCTACACTACAGTGTAAAATTCATAAATAGAAGAGAGCTCAATGTGTTTAGAATAGTCGAAGTGGCCTACTGTTTTGTGTTTACTGATTAAAATTTACAAAACGATCTATATTACATGCAGATGTGTGGACTATCACTAGTCTATATGTATACATTATATACACGCTAGTTATTGTAGGCAAGACCGTTTTTGCAATAAATATAACTACCAATTCTTACTTCTAGAATTAGACTTTGGTATACAAAACGTATACTAAACCTTGAAACGAGCCTGCAACTGCCACCTCTATTCCTTGTGATTCTTTTACTACTAGAAATCTGCAATCAATTACACTATTTCTGAGTAAAACCCAATGCTAACCTTCTGTTAAATGCATAAATATAAATTTTAAGTACATTTTGATAATTAATTATCATAATAATATTTATAACACTCCACATAAAAAATCTGCAATTTCCAAGAAATCCTAAAAAAAAATGACCGTGTGCCCTGACGGTACTTATAAGTCCACTTGTAAATATCGATCTAATACAAAGACACTTTGATCAAAATTGTATAAATAGGAGTTAAACACAATGACCTGACTATTGAAGATCCCAATAAAAAAATATTCGGTTTTGAAAACTTGAAGAATAAGGTAAAACAAAGGGAAATCAGGAACACATGTGAGATATGTACAGAAAAATTGTAAACTACCGATACAGGTAGAGATTGAAAATGGCGCCACACCAGAAATTTTCAAAAAACATCGATCCCTCCACCTACCTGTGACTCAGGGGAGATGATACTATCAATTACATCAATAATTTTTAAAATTCGTCTAAAATTAAAAATAATACAGGCGCTTAATTAAAGTGGTACTTATAAGTACCGTCAGTAGATAAAGAGTTAAGCCCTATATTAATTAAGCTAGTACTACACTTGTTGTAAGAAGCTGAATTGTAGTGTTAGAGAATATGCTTATCACGTTTAGAACTTGTATTGATATCACATTTAGTAAATATATAACGGGTTAAAATGTTTTAAAGCTATATTATGCAGCTTCGATTTCGCTGTCGTATGAATAAATATAAAAATAAACTAATTTTTCTTCGACGCAACAGAGTACATGTTTTCTTAATTCTATGTCCAATTTACCACCTACAATACTTTATTTCTATAACTAAGCGTGTTCAATTGTTTCATTTAAAGTATGGTTCAAGATATAGAATTCTGTGCACTACATCGACTTGAGCCTGCCATTGTATGTTATGCAAAACGCGAAAAATTGGACTTTCCAGTCGTTGACGAGTTTCTGATTTCTCTACAGGCCGCATGTTGAAATGTCTTCAATTTAGTTGTTTAAATAGATTGTTATTTTTATACAAACATGTTTATGTTTTCCCATTGCCTAACAAATGCACGTTTTTAAACATAAACATCGTACTTTCATTGTTTAAAAACGCAAACACTAAATCACATACTTAGAAAAAAAAGAGTTGTTTTTTCTCTTTTATTGTATGTGCGCTAAATGTGTTTAGAATATTTATCATTTAAAATTAATGAATAATGTTTAAAAAAATAAAAACATTTTATGATTTTTTCTTATTCCGCCTGTAATAAAAGATTTTAAATCAATTGTCTTTGTGTTTTAGTTTTAATGTAAGAGCTTAATTTTAACCCAAGAATATAGCCTAGTAGTCTATTTTAGTGTGTTGGTATAAAAAGAAATTGTAAATAGAAAGGCTAGCAGATAAAAAATGTTCTTCAGACCTTCTAGGGGGTCATCCATAAATGACGTCACGCTTTTTTTGACGATTCTTACCTCCTGCCCTCCCCTCCGTCACATATCGTCACAAAAAGTCAGACCCCCCCCCCATAAAATGACGTAACACCTCAGCCTACAACCCCCCTCAAAATTGCAGTTGAATTTTTTTTAAACAGCTATATTTTTCCAAAATCTTGTCTGAACTCTGTCAAAATAGAGTATTTTAATCAACTCCTGTTACAATTTTTCAAAACAGTTTTCTAAAACGCAAAATAACGTTTAAAATTCGCTTTCTAACATTGCTTTTTTATAATGCAAAAGTGTGACGTCGCAACATCTGAACCCCCCCCCCTCCCTCATCACACAGCGTCCAAAAATTACGGAACCCCCCTCCATACTACGAGTGTGACGTCATTTATGGACGACCCCCCCCCCCCCCCCCCAATATCAAATTAAAGCCATGCAGTGTAATGTATTTGATATGACCAACGGCTTGTTATCAATGTCAAAAATTTACCAAAAGCCACATGTTAATCACTCCGCCTTCGTCAGACATGGCCTTTCCATGAAACACAATTTAAACTATCACCATTAAAACGTCATGGACACATAAATTACACAATTCACTATATCACCTGCATATATTCATCACATTTTACAACGACATGTACCAATAATAATTCTTAACATCTTCAGTAACCAAATACGATATCACATAGAGGAATATTTCCCTAGAACCCTTAAATCCATGACCAGGTACTCGGTATATCCTCGAGCTACCCACACAAAAAAAATCTGACTGCATCATCAGTCTTGAAATCAACTTACTACCGATGAAGCAACCGACCAACGAACTATCCCCCTGCTGGCCGGGTGACGACACCAAATTATCTTAAAACAACATTATCCTAATCTACTGGGTTCCTTACGCTAAGATAACTAACCTAATAGGATAACATATCATCACCTATCATACATTGAAAGTCATATCATTGTAACAAATCAAATCAAGATCATAGTGGCATTATCATCTTGTCAACAATTTAACACCGCCCTCAAACCGGTGTGTCCATATGAACTATAACAATATCAATTATCACTAATACTGATGTCTTACTTATTATACAACAACCCTCATCAGCATAACACAGCAACGGGCTCATAATACCTACAGCCCCTGCTTAATCACTACAATTTTTGGTTCCACTAAGACGTAATAGAAAAAAATGGACATGCCTACTACTTAAAAAATATATGAAGAGGTACTACTTATCTAGTTTGTAGGACTTGGGCATCATCGTCGGCTTCATCACACAACACACACTTCCCACACAGATCCCCTTTTCCTTCACAAGACAGGTCATCTCAGCACGGTCTTTACGTCAAGGTCCTCACAGCACGGTCATCACATGTTCACCCCACACGGTTCTTCATGGCATGGGTCCTCACAGCACGGTTTCTCACAGTACGGGTCATAACGGCATGGGTCATCAGAGCACGTATCAAACACGGGTCTTCTTAGCACGGGTCTTCACACACGAGTCTTCAACATGGGTTTTCACGCTGGGATCTTCACACACGGTTTTGACAATAACAGTCCATATATCACAGAGACATAGTCCGTACGAAAATTATATCGATGAAACTTGACTGATTAGACAGTTATAGCGTTTTTTGGCTAGATATTATATCCGCCGACTAGCTTCTAAGTGCTTTTAAGCCAAATCACCTTGTTATACTGCTTCAATCTGTTCTAGCTGCTTCATGTTGTTATGCTGCCCCACCATGTTATACTTGGGTTCTAATGTATACCACAGTTATGCAGTGAGAGGGTAGAACTACTTGATCCAATATTACATTCCGATACCACTACCATTTCATTATGTCTAGCCATGCAATAGTGCATCTTGAGACACGACGACATCAACGCTTACAAATAATTTGACAGAATGACATCGGTTACTAATTCCATTCATTGCACTATAAGAAATAGACATCGGACGACTTGAACAAACGATACTAAGACTTGACAACCTAACCCTAACATACCACGAACAAGACTAACTCAAGCTTCTTCCCCGGCAACAACGAAATCACACTAAAACGTCACTTTCTTGCGTACCGCGTCACACTTTCACTCGTTCAATATTATAGCTTCGCACCAGCACCAGTTTGTCAAACATACATCATAACAGATGTAGCATTGTTTTCTCTATATTTAGCACGTTTACGTCATGGTGTCACCTCCACCCTCTTGTAATAATTGTCAATTTGTACATAAAAGATTATTTAACTTTAATTAATCATTATTGGAACTGGCACAAAAAGCATTTTTATTCTGTACATTTAGTAATTTTTTGTCCTAGTGTCACCCCCAAAATGGTGTCACCTGGTGCGGTCCGCACCCTCACCGAACCCGCCCTCGCTACGCTTCTGTTGGAATTTAACTTCATGCTGTTGTCGATTAGTTTACAATTATCTAAAGAAACATTAACGCAAAGCCTCAAAATATGATGAAATTACAAGCCTAACGCTGTGAATCAAGGTTTCAAGCTGGTATGCGGAAATCGGGGTGGGGGTAATATTAGGTAAGTGATTCCATAAGTTGTAAAAAGATTACTGATATCTAGGCCAGAGTAATGGCTACGGCAGTCTTGAACGACTGATGGGGTATGTAGGTTATCTGCATTGTTTTCTTTAAAATATTTGGTGTAAGAGAGAGTCCTTATATGTATCATAATGCTTGTAGTAATAATACATCTTTCTGGACTTGCTTTTGTGTCCTTTGTTTAATCTAGATCGATTGTTTTCTTTACTTCTTCTTCGTTCCTTATTTTAGTATTGGAAGGAACTCCAACACAAAGTACTACGTATCAACGTGTTATGCGGCTTAAAGGCCATTGATTCCGCTTTTAGCCTGTTTTTCTTTTTTTTTGGATTTGCTTCCGTAGCATTTGTCCAACCAAGAACAAAGAAGCCAGTAGCCGTGTTTTCGAACTCGAGACTTTATCGTTTAGCAACCATGAGCTTTATCGACTCCACCACGCCGCCCTTCGATTTCTGAGTTTTCTCTCCGAGATGTGTTGCTGCGCGCAGCAAACGAGCTTTATTTTAACTGGCCAGAGGTCCGAACTCGCACTTTTGGTTTAGTAACTATACGCTCTACCACACAACCGCGTCGTCTTCTATGATTTTATTAATTATGCTAGCAATTTTCATTAACGTTTGACATATTTCTGTGGCAAAAAATATTTCTCCTTTTTCTTCTTCTTCTTCGTTCTTAATTTTAAATGTTGGAAGGGATCGAGCCTCTCATCTGCCAGAGGGTTTGAACTCGAGACTTTTCTCCTTTTGATTAATATCTATTCTCCAGCATAAATGATATTGTTTTAAATTTAACAATGAGTCTAGGATTTCTTTCTTTGAATAATAATCCGTTATTTAATCGTTTTTAACACACTTGCCGTATAGATCGATTACCATGAACGTAAAGTTTCATGACTCAATTTTTGTTTAATTAAAAAAAAGCACTGCTGGTAAAGTTAGCACGTGTGACCAAACTAGGGCCTTTCGTACTTTCTAAAGGACATTATCGTACTTGGTCCACATAATATGATTGTAGCATAACGACGTGACAATTAAATATATATTTATGGAGATGTAAACAAGAGCATGCTCAAGCTCATTAAAATGATCTATGGAAATGTTTATATATATCAAACACACACACACACACACACACACACACATATATATATATATATATATATATATATATATATATATATATATATATATATATATATATATATATGGAGATGTAAACAAGAGCATGCTCAAGCTCATTAAAATGATCTATGGAAATGTTTATATATATCAAACACACACACACACACACACATATATATATATATATATATATATATATATATATATATGTATATATATATATATATATATATATATATATATAATATGCCCATGCAAGTGCACCGTCAATAGCAAATGTGCATAAGTCTTTGATCTATAGTGTAAATTGTAATTCTACCATTTTCTCCGAACTGTAATTTATTAATAGCAAGAACTATTCGTTTTTAATCGACTATTTTACTAACTTAAAGGAGGCCTATCGTCTTCTGTTATCAGGCGACTTCTAATGCCTTACCCCCACTTGTGATATCTGCAATCGAGAAGAGAATTATCACCCCATATCTTATTATGAGAGCAGTTATCTCACGTTAATGGGTAATCCTTGTTTGACATCCACACACCATTTGAATTTTGATTTAGTATTCCCGTCTTGTCCATACGCGTCCATAAAGGTAGAGTCCTTTCCTTCTCACCACCCCCCCCACACACACATTTTGAACCTCACAGACGCTGGAGGAAATAAGGTAGAGCTCTCCTGTTTAAGTGACCTCAGCATATGAAGGGGTAGTGTCGTCAGCACTATGTACAACCGCCTTTTTTTCCTAAACGTCAGTCAGTCAGTCCTATACCCATCAGAGCTGGTTTAACTCGGTAAAATCTACTGATTCGAACCTGTAGTCGAACACGAGACTTTCGGGTTAGCAGCCTAACGCTCTACCGCTTGGTGATACCGTACCCCTATGGTCCTCTTATTAATCATGTAACAGATAAGTTACATATTATTTTTGAAAATCAGATTTAAAAACTTAAAATATCAAGTAACATTGCTCTTTA